CATGCTGTTGTTGTTGTTGTAATTTTTTTTGTCATCAGTTATAATTACTAGCAAATATGTCCGTGCGTTGCAACGGAAGAAAAAAACTATCAAGCATTCATGCAAAACGAGGACGTGAATGGTACGTATCTACTTTTGTTTTATTCTTTTATAATTTATTTTATGATGACCGTGACATCTATAATATAAGTTAATGTTAACAATAAATAACAATATCTTATTAAACCTGTATCAAATTGAAATACACCTTGGCATATTTTTTTCTTTCATTCCAAAGCACATAATTATTTAGCTACAAGTATATCATAACTTTAATTTTTCATAATACCCATGTGTTCCTATGACTCAATATCAAAATTTGTAGCTTTTTTGATGCATCGTATCAACCTCCTTATTTTTTTTGTCAATATGCCAAGGATTTGTCTATCCACCAGTGATTGAGACCTCTCTTGAATTTTTAGACAACAGTTCTCGTCAGGAATTACATAAATACATTTGTATAGATTTCATTAGATAATAATCTACGAAGTTTCTGGTTCATGAAATATTTAGTTGCGCCGCAAAACTGCTTTGGCATTTTTATGTTTTTTCTATGATTTTGGTGAATTTTGCAATATCTCTGTTTTAATAGAAAAAGAGAAAAACGAAAGAAAAAGAAAAAGGCTTGCATAGGCTTGGTCCAGCCCACAACGAAGCCGGCCCAACTGCAAGAATTCAACCCAGGTCAAAAAGAAGCCCACCAGGAGATGTCCGCTCGGATCTGGACATTTTACATCAGAAACCCTTATATATTTCAAAAACTATTAAGGCCCTTCCACCTTTTCTTTCTCTCTCGTATCTTTACATCTGAAACCCTATGATTCTTTCTATTCTCTTCCCTCTCGTATCTTTACATCTAAAACCCTATGATTCTTTCTATTCTCTTCCCTACTTCTAATCTCAGTTGGCAACGAGACCGAGACCGAGACCGAGCCGGTGAGATTGGGGGAGGAAGAGGTAAGAAAAAAAATACGACGGAAAGTTTATCTTTTTATTATTAGGTATAGATATAAATCAGAAAAATACCGACCGCTTTCGTCCAACAGGTCTTGGTGCGCGCGCTACCCAGGTCCGATACGGAAGAAGATCAGAACGCTCTCCGTATCCGTTGCTGCAGCTGAACTCGACCTTGCGCTCCCCGCGCGGTGGGCAGGCCCGATGGCTCGACGAGCCCGCTATGTCCGAGCTGCGCCTCCACTGCGTTTGGCGGGGTTGTGGGTAGGTGCGGACGCAGAGGTGTCGCTGCTGGGAAGACGGATACATACAGATGCGTCTGCGGCTGCCAGTCGCGGATAAGGAGCCGTCGGAAGTCGCGAGCGGCCGCGGCCGCCGCCGGTGATCACAGAGGAGCAGCCGGGGTCGCGCGCGGCCGTGGCTGCCGCTGCCGGGACATGCGCGGAGGCGCCTGGGAGGGCAGGCAAAGGCGGCGCGGAGGTACGACAATGGCCTGTGGCCGCGACGATGGCGCTTCCACGTCATGTGCGAGAACGGGAGGTGCGAGGCCTATATACGTGTGCGGTTCTGTGTGCATTGGTGATAGGTCGTCGTCTTGCCTCTAGTCCGTCGATGTACTAGAGAGAGTCCAGCCAGCCAGACTCATCCAGTTAGCATGCCAAAAAAAGACAAGTAACCCAATAATGGCTCATCGATGTCTCAGTTAGCAGGCCTCTTACGCCTCGTCATTCACTTGGGCCGTGCTGCAGCCTGGAACAGCTGGAGTATTCGTTCCAGGAGCTTGAATCGCATACGTGTGCATACATGTGCTGCAGCAACGTAGCCAATCACGCTGACCTACTCACCTACAGCAGCGACTTTGGCCGCCGCGGATCCGGTGCAGTCACTGCTGCTAACTGCAAGATAGATATGGAACGGCTTGGATGAGAGCCTCTTTTTTTCTTTACTTTATTCTATCAGCAGCTCTCTTTCTTGGAGGGAAATGGCAGGAGGAGAGAAGAGTTTGGCGCTATTTTCTTGCTGGGAAGAGCAAAGCAACTGGACTGGTCATTTGTCTGATGGCCGAAGGAAAATAGTTTAGCCCTGTTGCATTAAGTTTCAGAAAAGGGGAAGCATAGTCTGCTCCAAAATTGGTTCAGGTGCCTGATGAGCAGAGATGTTCAGTCATGACACTTACAGTTCGTGGACTTGATTTCGTTAAGCAATACAAACTCTTTAGTGAGTTTTTATTTAGTGCAAAAGCAAGTTAACTGAGAGTTGGGAGCTATCAAAAATCTGTAATGTTAATTAGTATTATCAGTACGACGTATGTAAAGTAGAAAATCAGGGCCATGTTCAAAGATTTGTATTAATATTTTATTTGGGCTTCAAAGTTTATGTGAACACCGATTGGGATGATAGATCATGTAGTTTCTCTAAATATTTAAAGTCCAACAAAGGCAGCATATTACGAGCTTTGAGAGTAGCGGATGAATACAAAATGATACAAAAAAAACAGGGAAAATAAGAGCTCTTGTCCAAGCCGTTCCTTCTATGATTACCGACCATACCAACTAGCACCGGCGAAACCAAAGTGAACTCGTCAAGTCGCTGTCCCAGTTCGGGAGGCCACCCCATGATTTATTCTAGATCGAGCATATATGTTATTATAATATATATATATATATAGTGTATTCTACTACAGTATGCATGAGCATGTATGTATGTAGTAAAAATCATCAACTTGCAAGGTAACCATCCATCTAATATCTTGGCATAAATAATAATAATAAATAGATCTAACATAATCCCGGCCCAAACTAGAGCTTAATTAAGTTTGTATGTATGAGCTATGCCTAAGGTTATTCTAGACCAGCAAGGCCGTCTAGAATGCCGATGAATCTCGTGGAAACTTAAAGGTTGGAAAAGGTGAAAAATAGAGTAATAGATGCAAAAATAATAATTAAGTTTTGGATCCTTCAATCGGCTGTACGTGATCCTCTGATATTATTCTCCATGGGGCTCTCTCGTCCGGTGTTTATTACGGAGTAGTTCATTAGTCAATTATATAATTAGTTGCCTGTATACATTAGCTGCATCGCCGTGTATATATCTATTGACAATACACAGTATATTGGATCGATCGAAGAAGATGAAATAATTAGCTAGATCCCATAGATGATAGTATATATACAATGCATGCATGCATGAGAGTGATGGGACCGCAAGCCGTGGCTTGCGTTCTGTAATCGTCTTGCTACCTCTTAATGAAAAACGGGCTCAGTTAAGCGTGGTCGCGAAAAAAAAAAGAGTGATGCGACCGTCATCATCTAGTGATGACAACCTTTGGGTTTAATTATTTGCAAGAAACATTAGCTTGCATTATAAGTATATTATTGCTTCTGAATGCCCGCTACAGCCGCGAGATGGCGAGATGCATGCCTCAAGTTTATGTAGATAGAGAATATGTACCGTAAGTATGCATGCATGACTGCTACTAGCTAGCTAGAGATGAGCTAATTCTCTCTCTCTCTCAGCATCCGCCATGCATCGCAGCATGCACCCATGCATATTCCCATTCCGATTATATTCATTCATGTGAACTACTGGCTACCGGCGATGCATGGGATCCGATGGACGCATTAGTTAGTTTGCTTGTCGGCCGACAAAGCGAGTTAGCAAAGTCAAAAAACCTATCCACTCTTGTCGAATCAATCATATGCATGCATGCATGCAATTAGTAGTACTGTATACAATAAGCCCCTAGCCATTTACATTATTCTTGGTAGACCTGCTAACTAATAGCGAATCTTAGAATTTTGCTTCGTTCCATTTATGGTCATGTCCGCTTCTCTTATAATCCGTCTTTTTCAGCCGAAACAATGTTTTTCTCTCACAATAAATCAGTCGGAACAGTATTTTGGCTTATTTTTTTTTTAGCAAAGCGAATGGGGCCTATGTCGCAGAAAGTGAAAATTATGTCGTACTCCCTCGATCAATTTATCTCCTTCATCTAAGTAAAAAAAAACCAAAAGTCTCCTTCGTATTAGTTTGGGATTACGGGTTTGGCTTTTCGTAAGTGATGCGTATTTGATGCTCATTGGATGCTCCTTGTGTGTATTTATTGCTCCTTAGCTGTTCATTGGCTGTGACTCCTTGGCTGCTCCTTGCCTTAAATGCAAATCGGCGTTGTTTACTGCTCCTTGGTCATTGCGCCGAAGGCTAATACGATGGAGACTAATGGACGGAGGGAGTATTTCACGAATGCACGACGAAAATGCATTCATTGCCTATTCCCCGTAGCTAAAGGTGTTTTGCGACAAAACTAATATTATCGTCGTAATTTTGCGACGTTCATACTTGCGTCATTGATTTACGACATTCGATTTTCCTCGTTATCGAGTAGAGAAAACATCGCAAAAAATTTGACCATAGATGACTAGAGATGTGCCACGTAGGACAAAGAAATCGTCGTAAAATATTGTTGTCATATGATGCGGTAGGATCTGACATGGCACATTGCAGCTCACAATACACATTGAAGTCCATTGAACAATATACAACCCATCACAGCATTGCAGATAGAAATCAATTGACAACCATCAAGCAAGTGCTCACATTCATTACATCATAGATCCATTCAGAGTTACATGTTCAAATAATTTCACATGTCAAACTGAACCCAAAATACATTAAATTAAACTCAGTCTAAGTCACTACCAGATCCAACCAAGTGGCAAAATCAGCAGCCACATATCCAAGGCATTACTAAATAGACATCCAGATACAAACCATTACCAGGTCCAAGACATGTACCAAAATAAATAAACAGCCACATATCCAAGCCATGTTGTGGTCATGCATCATGATCAGTAGGATAAAAGGAAAAGGGTACGTAGTGACCTAGTCCTTGTTCAAGGTGAACAACCGACGAAGAAGAGCATTGGTTTCCTCTTCTTATTTCTTCAAATTTTCAATTTCTCCTGCCTGCTTCTCCCTTGCTTCCTCTGATTCCTCAACCTTCTTCTTCAACACTTCCAACTCATCCTGTTGTGATCTCTAAGTGCTGCAGCACCTTGCTTCTCTGCCGCAACTTCAAGCTCCAACTCTTGTACACGTGCAACAGCGGTAGTGCTTCTCTTGGGGACTGTTGTCTCAAGGCCAACATTTCGAAGAAATTTACTTGATGGAAAAACATGAGCAACAACTTCAGCAGGAGTCTTTGGTTGTTCCCCTTCTGGTGTAGGCTGAGCCATCATGGTATTCATTTGGTCCTAACATGATAAGAAAAATAGTTTTCATTAATATAAAAATGTAGGTACTAAAAGGTACTTTAATATATGCTGCTGCTGCTGCTGCTGCTGCAAACTGTAGCATGAAACTACTGTTCTGTATGCATAATTAAACTTTTGATAAAGAACCTGTAGCAAGTACTGTAAGTTATTAGACTGGAACTTAAAAGATAGATAAAGGTTGAGCTGAGTCTGCTAACCAGCGTGGAACTCAGATTAGATTGCAGAGATAAGCTAACTGTATTTTCTTAATTTTATATTTTATTTACTCTACTGGACAGGCTCTTAATTTTATATTCTATTTACTCTGCCGGACAGGCTCTAGTATATGCTGCTGCTGCTACAAAATTGCCAACTGTAATCTATGCTGCTGCTGGACAGGCTCTAGAATATTTGTTGCTGCTGCTGGATTACAGAGATAAGCTAACTGTATGCTGCTGCTGCTGGACAGGCTCTCTAGCATCTTTGTTGGACATCATCTAGAAAGCCAAACTGTAATATATGCTGCTGCTGCTGCAGGTTGCTGCTACAAAACTGCAGCAAACTTTGCACAAACTATGCTGCTGCTGCTGCTGCAAACTATAGGTTCATTGTATTGATGGGACATTGTATATTATCAGGTTCATTGTATTAATCAGTCTAAGGAGATACTATACATTGTAATAAGTCATAGAAGGTATTAATCAGCTTAAGATTAACTACACAGCTAGAGTAAGAAATGAAATAACAAAAATAATATCCTCAACAAAAATAGATTGATTTATCTAAGCCAAACTAAAGTCACTGCAGGAACAATGAGACTATCTGTTCAGCATACTAAGCAGTCCGGAACATGAACATGATTCAACACCCTCTTTGTCATTGCAAAAGTAACTGAGCATTGTCTGTCATTCTAGAAATCATTTCCAGGATATGCCTGTTTGCAGTTCTAAAATATTTGAGATGCCTGTATGCAGTTCTAAAAATATGCTCCCAGTAAAAAACATCTACATAAAATTCCTACAACTTTTGTATTCACCACAAAAATTACTTCGGTCTACTATTTTTAATCCAGGCTACAAAATATTCAATCAGATTGAGAGAGTCTACAACACAAATTCTAAAATTCCAATATCCAACCTCTGCACTACTGAAATCGTAGATAAAAAGAATGTCTACATACCTCTAGTACTCTGGTTCACCTAACAAGCGACAAAAGTAGAAGGGAAAAACGAAATTGATCTGCTCAGTTACCTACTAAACATGATCTCAGTCTATTCTTTTGTGGTGCCCAGGCCCAAAGGAGAGGCTAAACGTGGGGAACAGATGGGAAATCGACTTATTAATTCCGCATATTCATGTCTACTTGCTCCCACCTTCCGACCAGGAGCCATGATGCTCTGACCTTGAGTTGGGGGAGGAGGTCGCGGCTTCTGGAGGGGGGAACGAGGGGGGGTCGTAGCTTCTGACGGACGGCGCCTGCTGCGTGTGACTCGACGTGAAGAGGGCGGAGTGAGGAGCCAGGGCCCGGGGGAGCGACGCCCCGAAGTCGCGGTCCGGCGGAGTCGGCGTCATGGGAGCCTGGGTGGCGACGCATGCTGTGTCGGGTCGGGCAGAGTGAGGAGCAACGATTTGGAATTAGGGGGAAATAGCAAGCGCGAGACGTCGCGCGGGAGAAGAAAGAGTGAGCGCGGAGGCGGCGGGAGAGAAAAAGATGGCGGCAGGTGAAAATTTTGGAGATAGTTTTCATCCAGAGAAAGAGGGAGCGCGCGGCGTCGGCGGGAGAAGAAGCGAGCATGGTGGCTTTCATTGGAGAGAGAGGGAGCGCGCGGCATCGACGGGACCGCGGGAGAAGAAGCGAGCGTGGTGGCGGCGGATGAAATTTTGGGGATTCAACAAGCTAGGGTTCGGTGAGACTGTCGTTGGGCCTAATGGGCTAGTTTTTTAGAATAGAAAAAATTGAGGATGGAAAAGAAAAAATGTTTTTGAAATTAGAAAAAATTGAGAATAATAAAGAAAAAATATTGAAATGCAACCTGTAATTTGTGGCCTCGAATGTAGTTCTCCCAACCACACCACGCCAAAGTCATTTGAGATTGAGTAAATGATACTTTCCTTTAGTATTGATTTTTCTAGACATTGTTGATCTCATCGAGATGTAGAGCATTTGGTTTCGGTCATCTATCCATCTAAGGTAGTTTGGACAATTAAAAAAATTGTAATTCAAAATATTATACATGGAGTTGAGCTTATCATGTTAAAATTCAAATCATAAATTGTAATTCAATATATTATACGTGGAGTTGAGATTATCATGTTAAAACTCAAATCATAAATTGTGACGATTCTCCGGTAGCATGCCATGACAAATTGCAACTCGTCGTAATATGGAAATTCTTCCATTTACGACAACTTCTTCTATATCTTAGTGACAAGCAGAATTTTCATCGCAAAGTCATACACCCACCAAATAACGTCGTAAAATACAATGATTTAGCGACAAATTTGGCCGTCGACATGAGGAAATCGTCGTAGAATGTCATATCTCTTGTAGTGAACTAACCAGGAAGAAACGCCACAAATACCCTTTATTTTAATCCAAGCAACTAGATGGGTAGTTGTACTCTCCTAGAGATGAAACCTAGTAATAAGATATGAAGTTCCCGTGCTAACTGCCACTGCGCATGTCGACGGAGGGAGTCGCTGCCGACGTAGGAGACGGAGGGGGCGGCACATCTGAAAGGTCCTTGATTGGTTTTGGTAATTGAGTGACAATCTAGTTGGACTAATATATATATATATATATATATATATATATATATATATATATATATATATATATATATATATATATATATATATATGTTGAGATACACAGGTAATTAGTCCACAAGTACACTAGTGTGAGCAATTTGAGCCATGGAGGTGGAGATGGCTTGGATGTGTTGTAATGCTCACCTATGTGTCAATGAAGGAGCTCATTGCATATGAGACATGACAAGGAGTCATGTGGCTAGGTGAAGAAGATTCAAGAGACAAGGCTTGGCCGTGATGGACCGATTACAAGTGTGAAGGACAAGTCGGAGGCTTTGAAGCGACAAACCACAAGTGGCGGGGAAGTTTGAGCAAAAGACTTGGCCCTAATGGACCAAGGCAATGGTAAAGAGCAAGCGAAGTTACGATCGATGAATCAATAAGGTCACATGATGACATGGAGTGGATCATATCATTCAAGGAAGATCAAGCCAAGTGTTGATTCATGATGATGATCAAGAGGCATGTGGAGGTTGGTGCTTGTGTGGCATCAACATTGGAGGAGATGGAGAATGGAATGAGCAAGGCAAAGGTATAACTTGGGCATTTTATTTTACTGGTCAAAGGTGTGTAGAGAAGTACATGACCGGGTTTAGGATGGATGGTCGTACTATCAACAGGGGCAAACTTGTTTGCATATCGGTCATCTAATGCTACCACTTATATGCTACAAGAAATGTGTTGATCCATGATAGTTTTTTGTGACTATATTGGATTTCGTCACAGAATAGCAGAATGAGACATGGGTTCCCTTGAAGTGGTACAATTTACTTTCTTGGGGTTTGTTGTGCGATTTTTTTAGAAAATAGGAGGGCCTTAGCCCCTACTAAGATTTACTAAGAAGGTAAAATAATCAGTACAACAAATGGGAGGGGTATAAGGAAACTGGACCCTCGGCCCATTTAAATTGGATTTTGGTGTTTGATGAACAAGACCAAATTGGACTAATGTATTTGTGAGTGATTGTTTTGTAGTCCAATACGGTGCAAATGTGACTTGGACAAACGTGATGAGATGATTCGATGATCAACATCTCAAGCAAGTCATTAGAAGCACAATGGAAGACCCAAAAGATCAAGCAAAGTCCAAGCACGAAGGATGGAACCAAGCTGGACGCAAAGCTCGTGAAGAAATGAAGCGAAGGGAGACAGTTCAGGTGCTCTAGATCCTATGAATAGTGCCAGTCCAAACCCTAGGGTATGCTCCAGAGAGCTCTGGACCCTGTGAATAGTTCTAGTCTAGACCCTATGAATAGTGCCAGTCCGGTTGCTAGGGTATATGCTCCAGAGAGCTCCGGACCCTATGAATAGTGATAGTCTGGATCATCAGTCAACTCAGTCTAGAAGTGTCTAGAGAGGTTTCAGAGAGCACCAAAGGCTCTAGACTCAGTTCGGTTGGGAGCTCAGGACCATTGATAGTCCGATCCGGAGTTGGCCAGTTCAAACGGTCGCGTGTCAGTGATCGTTGGAGGGAACCGGACCGAGGAAGAATGGTCCGGACCCCCAGAGTGCGATCCGGAGGTGCATAGAAAAGCCCTCCAAGGGGACCAACGACTCTATTTGGTTGGGGGCTTATAATTACCCACATGACCGGCCAAATTGAAGGTGTGAGAGCCTAAGAATTGCTATATGAGTTGAGATCAAGCCAAGTGTTGATTCATGATGATGATCAAGAGGCTTGATGGAGGTTGGTGCTTGCGTGGCATCAAGTTGGTGGAGATGGATTGGAATACCCAAGACAAAGGTATAACTTGTAAGTCATTTTATTTCACCGATCAAAGGTGTGTAGAGTAGTACATGACCGGGTTTAGGATAGATGGCCGTACTATCAAGAGGGGCAAACTTGTTTGCATATCGGTCATCTAGTGCCACCACTTATACGCTATAAGAAATGTGTTGATCCATGATAGTTTTTTGTGACAGTATTGGATTTCATCACAAAATAGCAGAATGAGACACGGGTTCTCTTAAAGTTGTACAATTTACTTTCTTGAGGTTTGTTGTGTGATTGTTTTAGAAAACAAGAGGGCCTTGGCCCCTACTAAGATTTACTAAGAAGGTAAAAAGCCGTACAACAAAAAGAAGGGGGAGGGATTCAAGAAATAAAAAAAGAAACAAAAAAGATTATTTGTTTGTCTGGTTAGTACCATGTTGTTGTTGTTGTAATTTTTT